GGGTTATTTCCCATGCTGAGGAATTCTCTGAAGGAATGTTGCATCGTCGCCGAAAGTGAGGCCCCTAAACCCTGAAGTCTACAACCTAAAGCCTTTGAAGTCCTGGAGGATTGTTTCTCAATTGGAGTCGTAAGCACTGGCTGTCCATGAACAGGCAGCAATTCAAAATGACGATCTTGGTATCTTATTGGTGGCATGCAGCCTCGCCCTATACGAGAGCCTGAAGCCTTCAGCTTTGAAAAGCTGAGCCAGAATGTCTGCTGTCCCGCCGACCGCACCATCCATGCTCCAAGGGATTTAGCCGCATATCCCTTTTTATACTGTGGGTTTCTGAAATAAGATTGTTCAAGGGGCATCATGTTATTGATGTTTGTGGCTTGTCGTCTCCAACCGTTTTCGGGAAATCCGGTTCCCCTGAAACATTACCGCCTCAGAATGCAAGTTCTTTTGTTGTAACCAGATGAACACCGTGAACAGACCACATGTGAAATCCCGCGTGAAGCTTGGAGACGAGCGTTAAGGACATGAACAACTTTATGTGTAGCAAGGGAACGGACTCAAACTATAGCTGGTTGCGGATCTGGGCGGCATCCTGGTCTTCCGATGAACGCCATGAGCTCAGCTGTCTGTCATGAGCCTCGCAGGTTCAGGGTCAAAATCACCTCCTCGCCGCAGCAATTACCCAAATAAGTTGCTTTCGGGTCCCTGTTCATGATTTTATTACCAATGCATCGGATCCTTCCTCAAGAAAGGAGTTTGCGAATGTCTGATCAGGGGCTAATGGTTGAGGGTTTAACACATCCCCAAACCTCATTGAGCACCGCATTTTAGCACCATTTCTCACGAGCCCGAAGCACAGAGCCGTTTTTCTCTCAGCAGAGCCTGAAACGAATTCAGCCACACATTAACAACTAGACTAGAGTTGCGGGGTAGTTTGGATGTTTTACTTTTAACGTATTGCAAAGAATCTAGGCTCCATATTATAGGATTCCCACTATACACAAACCAGCAGCGATGGACGAGTCTTCAGATGCCAAGGTCGCACAGCTGCCACCGGAAGTGATCCGCCAGGCGTGTGTGTGTGTGCTAAGTATTATTGAGTAGTTTACTCCACAAGTGTAGAGTATAACATACCCTGGAATCCTGTTCCCATCATTGAGGCCCGCACACCGTATGTCAGGCTCGGCACGAGCAAACCCTTAGTGCTTCAAGCTTTTGGTTTGTTATCTTACTCTTTCATTCTTCTAGCAGCCGGGCATTGGGTTTGCAACTTTAGGGCATTAGGGCTAGAGGCTCCAGGAAATTAGGTTTTTTGGGTTTAAAGTTTAGGTTCAGGGTTCAGCCGGCAGCTGCACATTGCTAACCTCATTGTTTGCATGGTTGCTGCTTTGTCTGGATTTTTCCCAGGTTACTTTCTGGGCTTTTACCTGCACAGCTCCGACGCATAATATCGTCAGAGGGTACGTAGACAGCACCGTGTACTGAGTACTCAGAGATAATGCTTCCTGCACGCTATTGTTGAAAACTTCAAACCTGAGGCCCTATAGACCATGAGCTAGACCCAGGATTTTTCCCTGTCGGTTGCTGGGGCTCTGTTTCCCTTTCCTGCCCAGGCTTCCTGAAGGGATGTTCTGCACCGGGCGGGTCTGTACATGGTTCGGATTATTTGTCGCAGGACACGGCTTAGCTGCCCAGGTTGCTTGTATGGGCCTTTGGGATGCAGATTTGTGGACGCAGCACCCTGTTCAGACCCGATAGACGCCCGCTTCTACAAACTCTGAACCCTACGATTCCTCGTCATTGTCAGGGAAAGTATGGGGGTTTCCAAAAATAGGGGACCCTAATATAGTACCCTAATTAATAGGATCCCTATTATAAGGACCCCAAAATAAGGTACCCTAATTTTCTGAAACTCCCGTATGAAAGCCCCCGAAAACAAGCTTGTTCTAAGCATCATGGCCCCTATCTTAGGCCCGGGGATCCTAAACCCTAAACCCTGAACCATACACCCTTAACGCTAAACCCTTAACGCTAAACCCTAAACCCTAAATTCGAAACCCTAAACCCGAAACCCGAAACCCTAAACCCTGACCCCTAAACCCTAAACCCTAAACCCTAAACCCTAAACCCTAACCACCGTCCCACAGACCATCGCCTTTACCTTCGGCAGCGTTCTGGACGTTCTCAGCCTTGGGGCCGCCCCGGCTTCCTTTTTTTGAAACCAACCCTAACCCTTAAAACCCGGAACTCTAAACCCTAAACCCTTAAAACCCTGGGGAGAAGAGAGCTTTGGTTTAGGGTTGTAGGGTTGTGGGGTTTAGAGTTGTAATGTTTAGGGTTGCAGGGTTTAGGGTTGCAGGGTTTAGGGGTGTAGGGTTTAGGGGTTCCGTAATCATAACTTTAACCGTTTTCAATGTCTTGAGGGCTCAGCGAGGGCTTAGCGTATGCAGGGTTTTAGGTTTGTATAGTGTTTAGCAGAAAGGGCATCAGGTCGTTAGGTGCGGAGGTTCAGGGCCATTCGGCATCAGCATTAAAGTCAAAGGCTGGAGGTCAGAATAGATTAGGGCCTAGGGCTTTGCATGTTTGATGTTGTTAGCATGGCTATGAAAGCTTTCACATCCCTAGATGCTGGGGTGTGGTGGGGGGGCTCTGTTGGGTGCATAACTGCCGCCATCGCTGCAACCACAACGAGGACCACAACAACCACAAAAGCGATCCCAACTGCAGCACACTATAGTCGTCGACATCGTTGTCATCGACATCTGGCACCATCGTCGACTTCATCTCCATGCACGTCAGAACCAGAATCGCGATTTAAGGTTGATCATCAATGCTGCCACCGTCTGTCATTGTGACTACTGATTCCCCTCTTTGCTCGAATGGGTGGAAGGAGCAATCGTGCCACGAGAAGCAAAGATGACAAGCCATAACTTTCCGAGGAACATACGACTGCTCAGTACCACAAGTAGGGAATGTGCTTCTTAGAAGATCACAACTACGGGGTACATAGCATCAACAGCAAGGATCCGCACCGTCATTGGTGTCGCTTGAAATGGTGATACCCGGGGCTGACGATGGTTACGATGAGGAAGGTTTTGATGATGATGCTGATGATGGTGATGATGATGGTGGTGGTGGTGGTGATGGTGATGGTGATGATGATGTTGCTGAATAAAGTTGGTGCTGGTGATGCTGCCGGTACTGCTGGTGGTGTGTGTGGTGATGCTGATGGTGATGGGGCTAAGGCCGTGATGTTATTTCCATGCAGTGACTTGATATGAACTTGCACGGGGTTGAGGCCTTACACCACTCGAATTTTTCAGGAACCCTTAAAGAATTCGTATAGATCCCTCATGGAACCCTGAAGAAACCTGAATAACCCGTGTTCAGAGGAACCGTATAGTGGCCCAGGTGGTCAACCGCCAGGTGTCCGATGCACGGGCCTCAGCGCCGCTGGCTGTTTGGCGGTCTGCGAGTCACAGAGAGTACCTAAAGGATTTCGAGTATAAAGCTTAGGTATTAAATACCCCTAAACCCTAAACCCTAAACCCTAAACCCTAAAGCTTAGGTATTTGGGTTTTGCGGTTCACAAAGCACGGAATCTGCCTTCTTAAGCCTTGGCCCTCCCCATATCCGTATCCTAAATGCCGAACTTGAACCTCGGAGCACCGCACCCCGAACTTCCGCCTCTCTCCCGCCCCGCGTCCCACTCAGGGTTTAGGGATGTTTAGGGTTTAGGGTTTAGGGATGTTTAGGGTTTAGGGTTTAGGGATGTTTAGGGTTTAGGGTTTAGGGATGTTTAGGGTTTAGGGTTTATAGGTCCCGCCGGAAGAGCTCTAGCTCTGGTTTCCATCAGCCCCCGCAAGCCCGAAGGTGCTCCGGGAGCTCGGCGAGAGCCTCAACGAGAAGGTGACGGTCGGTTCTTTGATCACGGACAGGACCAGAGCAGGGAATGCTGAGAGTGCCACCGCATCGGACGAACACCCACAACACCAGCGCATCAGCCTGCAATATAGATATAGATATATATATATATAGTATAGATCAGTTGCTGGTCAGAGTCTATCTATATATGCCGGTGCAGAGCAGCCTGCTTTGTTCACAGCAGAGTGGTGCCAACAAGCCGTTTCGAGCACAAATGATCCCAGATTTCCCCGTCGAAGCCGAAGAGATCCTGGCTTGATCAGTTGCCTTGGCGAAGCCATGGATTGGGGTTTCTGGGGCAAGGTCGGCTCAATGGCCTTTTTCGCTGGCCTTGGAATGTTCGATTTCGTAACGGACTTCATCGTGGCCCGGTCGAGCTTACTGAACATGTTGTTTGTTGTGAGCAACGCAAGCTTTCCGCACTGTTATATTTATAATTTAGTGAAGTCTCTCCTGAGAGTCGGAGTTGGAGGTGCTCTTGGTTAAGCACAACAGCCCAGGTGATGCTGCAGTATGGATGCTTCCTCGACAACTCCTTGACACTAAACCCTAAACCCTAAACCCTAAACCCTAAACCCACTGCCCTGTCCTGGAAGCCAACAGCACTGCCGCCACGAACGTCACCTTGGACCTTGAGCTCCCCGAGTGCACGCCCCACTGGGCCTGGTTCGGAATCGCTCTGACGTGGTCGTCTCCACGCTGCTGCCGGCTTTTGGTTGGGCTGTAAGACAAAGACGATCGTGGGGATGTGCCTTCGTGTTCTTTTGCACCCTCGGAGTCGCTCAGCTCTCGCAGGTCTGGGATCTGGCACAAGTGGTACGTGAAGATGAGGATGAAGAACCCGGTGGGGTCAGAAATCTTCTCATAGTGATGGTTGAAAGTGCGCCTCAGCTCTACCTGCAGTCTTACATCCTGTTTGCGCTGGGCGCATATGGCCAGACCTTCAAGGTGATTTCCGTTTGCAGCTCGGTCGCGTCCCTCGCAGGTTCAGCAGTGATGGCAGTTGCAAAGGGGCTTGGGGGGGGAGTCGGCGGCTGCAACGGCTCTGGCCGGGCAAGGTGCTTGCGGTGCTCTTCATGGCCACGGACGCAGCAGTCCGAAGCATGGGTTTTGCGATGGTGCTGTCCGAGCCCGTCAGGGTTTACGGCGTGCCTAGATGCATCACCTTCTTCCTCTTATGCAACATCTGCCTGTGCAAAGCTAGGGACAGAGGGGTGCGGAAATGCAGCTTGATGATGGTTCCCTATATCGTTCCAGCCGTGGTACTACTGCAGGACAAGGAGGATTACCGGAAAAGTAACATGGAAATTGTGTTGGCACTTCGGTACATTGAGACCATCCTATTCGGCATTCTTGCAGGTACCTTTGGCCAAACGGCTAGTGGAAACACTCTCACCCTTGAGCTGGGAATCTACTTCGGCATGCTGGTGGCACATGCCCTGTCACTAATCTTGTTCCAGTGCTTCGTAGATGATGATGGCGAAGTCAGCACGCCACGGCAATCCATACAGTCCCAAGCAAATCCTGGGCCGTTCCATGCAGAGAATGCCGGACAGGGAGTGAAAGCAGAATCCTTCGAGCCATACGCCGGCATTAATTAGCCCGTAAAAAGGCCTTGTGCCCACACCCTCAGGATCCCTGGTTTAGGGTTTAGGGTTTAGGGTTTAGGGTTTATATAGGGTTTAGGGTTTAGGGAGCCCTCTTCCATGCCTTCCACAATCGTCGGCGCATTCGTGAGCCAAGCTCCTTGCTTCGGGGCGTCTTCACTCGGCGGTCTTGGGGGAAACTCTTGAGATGCTGAGCTGTGGATGCTGATGTCATGGTGCTTGTTTCGTGTTTCACAGCGTTTCATTTGGGATTTCGAGGTTTGGATCCGGGTGTGCCCGGAGCCCTGGAGGCGGTATACCGTCAGACTGCTCAGCTCTCCTGACCAGGCCCAGGGCTGCTCTGCTGTTGAGTCCCAAGACCTTCAGGGGTTTTAGGGTTCAGGGAGTACGGTACATCGTAAATGCTAAGGCTAAGAACTTACATCGAGATTGTCTGATTAGAGGTTTACAGTTTACAGGCTTCGCTGTAGGGATTTCTTATTTTTTCTGCTTAGGCTTCTGGCGCCTGAGGCTGGGACTCAAGAGCACCAGGTGCAGGAGACCCAAACTCGACACGCCAGCATTTCATAGGGTTGAGGGTTTAGGGTTTAGGGTTTAGGGTTTAGGGTTTACTTTCCGATGCTCTTTTGCTGCGGCATGCCAAAATCCGCAAGGCTTCATCTGCACCTCTGCGGGGTTCTAACTAAATTTGTTGGGTTGCAAGCGATTGCCTACTTGGTTGGGGGCTACAGGCGCGTCTTAGATTTGAGGCTTGAGGGCCTGAGATTCAGGGTGGATTTGCTTGGCTGAAAGCTCGTGGCCAGTAGTTTGCGGTATCAAGGTCCGCAGCACAACCCTAAACCCAAAACCCTCCGGCCAAAATCACAACGGCCCAAGGCTTGAACCACCGAAGAAACCCTCCCTGCCCTGCGCAAGCCTGACAGGCTGATTGCGTGTAGTGTCAGATTTCGCTCAACACTCGAGAATGACTAGGGGTCGAACAACTGTAAGCAACATGATTTTATCGTAGAAGTTCCACATTATTCCCCACAATGTGCGGTTGTTCTTGGTTTTGGACTGTCTGAAACCCGCCCGCTCGTATTGCGAAAGTCCGCGAAGCTGTGCGAAGGAGTGCGCAGCATTTCTTCCGCTGGGCGAACCTGTCCATGCATGGCGCCGCCACTGCTGCGGCAGGCCTTGACTTCGGCAGTGGGGTGTCTCAGGACGGTATACACATGGAAGATTCCGAAAATGAGGGGGTACTTCTGTTTGGGGTCCTTATAGTAAGAATCCTACTATTTAGGATACTGGTTTGCTGATGCCCTGATTCATCAGTGGCTAATCCATGACGCATGGTTCTGCTTGCCATGCTAATTCGACGCCATTCATTACTCTCCTCCGACTGACACTTCAGGAGCGGGCGTGAAGTCTGTGTAGGACTCCTTATTGATAGTAATTTATGGTTTGATCACCCAGTCTCGCCCAACGGCTGCGCGTAGTCGTATCAGCTCTTCGAACTGTGTGTTTTGAGCTTCCTTCAACAGGTTATGTTTCTGAAGCTACTCATGTGACGCACGTGTAGCAGATTTGGCATACACCATCCCGAAGTGCATGGAGGAGAGTTTCGTTTTACGACAGGTGCTACGAATCCTTCAGGGCTCATGTTTTGGGCGTGCTCTACAACTTTAGCACTGCTAGATATTTGTCCTTTATGGTGTGCATGCATCTACTGCTCCTCTGCTGTTTCTTGCGACTGTGGCTTGCAAATTGATGAGTGCCATCGCCGGTGTGAAGACATGATTGTCTCATGTCTCTTTATTCGCACTGTTTCTGTGAGGTTTTCTTCTACACAATCGTATCTTGCGATGCTAAGGCACAATCCAGTACATTCAGCGATTTTAACGGACTCTGTCCTTGCTGGTGCGCTGAAGAAGGGGCCGTCTTTCGACGAGGTTGTTGGCAGGCTGTTGGATGCCGTGGCGGCTGCAATGCCAACGCGATGTTTTCCATAGTGGCGGTGCTCCATGACCAGTCTATACTGAAAACCCCGCTGGTAAGATGGGTTGTCTTGCCTCCCGAGAACACCAGATGGTATGGTACAGAGGCCTGCAAATCCTAGATGGAAAAATTCTGCTTGCCGACGAAGCATCGTGTGTCCTCTCTCTCTCTCTCTCTGTCTCTCTTTCTCTCTCTCTTCACACGAGGGGCACACAAGCCCTCACAGAGTCATGAAGTATTCTTGCCAAGCCCTAATCCCAAGTTTCGCCTGCTTCTCAGATTGCGACTCATCAGCGGCAGATGGCTTGGTCTACCTATGCAGTCAGTGCAGGCCGATGTTTTTGTATGTGATTTATCCGGGCTTTGGCTTGTGTTTCCATCTTCAAGTTAGAGTTCGGTGCAGTGTTAGGTGGTACCCCCAAGTGAAGTGAGATGTGGTCTGAATTTGGCTGCCCTGCGAACAGCAGGACCATCGTCGGTACGGTTCACAGCATGCAAGTAGGACCCAAGCCGAAACTGGGTCCTGGTTGGCTACAACTTTACATTTTTGTCATACTACATAAAACCCAACAAGGATTAAGCATGATCGTTGTTAATATAGTCCCAACAGGGACCCAAGCCGAAAGAGGTGTTCACGCATGGCTTCAAGCCAAGGCTTGACTGCACAAGCAGACACCAGGAAATGCTCCTGCTTGCTTGCGTGTAAGTGTGGTTGTATATGTGTGCATGTACCACGCTCGTACATAACATACTAGGTACAAGAACTGAAAGCCGCCATGATGGCAGCAACATCAGCAATGTCACTGAAACTTTGGTGGACACAATGGCTTCCGGTTTTGGGTTGTAGAGAGGATGCCCTAACCACCCGGTTGCCTAGATCGTACGTTGCTGGGTCGTTCCTACCCCCAAACCCTGAACCCTAAACCCTAAACCCTAAGTCATGAATCAGACAGAAGACCACAATACAGGAACCTCGGCTCTTGCAAGGGGAAAGGCGTGGCATTCGAGTTCTTTGTGCAAGGCCTATAGGGTCTAGAGCCTGGAGGTTAGGGTCATGGGGCCTAGGGCTTTGGGTTTGGGGTTTTAGGGCTTTGGGGCTTATAGGGCTTCGAAGTGTAGCCCTAAGGGTCCATGTACCTAAGTAGTAGATAATTTGGCCTTAAAGTAGTCCCTATGTGGGTACTTTGGGGCCAAAGTATCCACTAGATAATTTGGCCTTAAAGTAGTCCCTATGTGGGTACTTTGGGGCCAAAGTATCCACTATTTGGGCACATGGACCCTTAGGGTAGTGCTTCGGATCGAGAACTTCCTTCGTTTAGGGTTTAGCTACGGACACTACACTACGGGTCCGAACATGTGAATATTGACGTACTTTCTGCTAGAAGTGTTTATTCTTCGGTGCCTTTGGGGGCCATGTGCATCCATTGTTTGGGCGCGAGGATCCGTAAAGCCTTGGAGACAGTGTCGGGCGGTACGATTTCACTTTGGGGGTGTGAGTGCGCGGAGGCCTTTATACCGCAGGCATTCAACTAGTCGTTGTTATGGCTTGGCCAGGCAAGTCATACCCTGAACCCTAAACCCTAAACCCAAAACCCTAAACCCAAAATAACCCAAAACCCTAAACCCTGCCATCCTTCGTCCCAATGCCCGGCATCCGAGACCCGTCCGGATGCAGGAATCCGATCCTGCGTCCGGCAGACATCATCAGCAGCAACTACCATGGTGCAGGGCTCGCCGTGAATCTGAAGACCTAAACCCTAAACCCTAAACCCTAAGCCCTAAACCCTAAACCCTAATCCCTAAACCCTAAGCCCTCAGCCTTAAACCCTAAGCCCAAAGCCCTAAACCCTAATCCCTAAACCCTAAACCCTAAACCCTAAACCCTAAACCCGAATCTGAAGACCTAATACCTTAAGGGACCATATACCAATGTGATTCGGCAAGACTGAGAGGGTGGGGAAAGCACAGCTTTGTTATTGAGGGTGTTTTTGTTTGGGAAACTTGGTGTTAAAACCGCAGCTTCCTTGGTGATGTGACCCCTTCAGGTCCATGAGATCCCTGTGGACTAGATGCCCCCCCCAACCCCACCCCACAGGCATAATCGGGATCCTAGCAAAAACAGGTATCGCCTCTGAGCCGAGGCTTAAACTCCCTTTGAAGTCTGTGTTGTGTCAGCTGACTCTAACGGTTGGAGAGTTCCACAGGCGTCGGTGCAACTACGAGGACCTCACATGTTCAACTGTCGCGAGGATCCCATATGATTGGCTGGTGTGTCTGATTGTGCCTATAACGATATTCTGCGAAGAAACTAACCACTAAAGCCTGCACATGTGCCCCAAAACCCTTCGCCCTAGTTTGCTGACCTTGGCCAGCACCAGGCAACAGTGCGAGAAGCAAGTCAGCACATGACTTATGATCTTAAACACACTACAGGACGTAATGCACCCAACAAATGCAGCAAGGTTCACCAGCCTCATTATCCTACAGCCCAGCTGCTTTAGATACACTCCCTCACGCTACAATCGCTACAAACCCCTTATAAGGTAGATCCGAAACCCGAAACATCCCAAAACATCCCAAAACCCCAAATCCCAACTACCTGCCAACCCTAAACCCTAAACCCTAAACCCTAAACCCTAAACCCTAAACCCTAAACCCCCAAAGTCCGAAGTCCAACTTCCTGCCACAAGTACTTTCTCCAGTCCGAAATCCCCAACGCCAAATACTCCGTCGAAGACTTCCGAAACCGCCTATGGCCCTATACCTAACCCACAGCCCTAAACCCCAAACCCTAAAAAACCCAAAACCCTGAGCCTAAAGTGAGTCCAAAGCCCCGGGCTTCGCCACGACTCCGATGGCCGATGAGTGCCCGGCAGCGAGCAGCAGCAGGACGGGAGCTTTGGGGATTCAATACCCGGTGCAAGGAATTGGAGTTGTACCGGGTTCCTTTACAGCTTCCTTTAAAAGATCTATAAGAGCACAACCAGATAAATCCTAAACCCTAAACGATTGAATAC